CAGGTGTAGGTCCCCTTGTCCACCAGCAGTACCTTCTCAATGTAGAGCATCCTCCCTCCCGCAGACACCAGCTTTGGGCTCCCAGGTTGGGCAGAGAGGGGTTCACCTGCCGAGGAATGAGACAACAGCCTTTCAGACTCCCATCAGGACCAGGTCCCACACAGAACCTGGATACTGCCCAGCATAAAGCACTCCTCGTTCTGAGGAGACCAACATCTGTCTGGTGGGTCAACACATGTGTGGGGAGGGATGAGGCTGAGGAGCAGGACCCTACCGTCCTTCCGCCAGCCCAGGGTGGGGACAGGGATCCCCTGGCACTCGCAGGCCAGCCTGATGGACTGTCCCTCCACCACGGACACGGCAGCAGGCTCTGCCGAGGAGAAGGACGGGGGCACTGCAGGGGACGAGAGGAGAGGAGCAGCTCGCTGATGGCACCAGACAAGAGGAGAGGAGCAGCTCCCCGCCGGAGCTCCATCCTGCTGGCGACACACCACCTGCAGCTCCACTGGGCTTCACACAAAGAACCGGGAAGCCTCCCCTGCACTGGCTCCATGTGGAAATAATAACGTTGACTCTCCAGCTATTAAGTGATGCTTTTAACTGCACGTGGCCTACAGCAGAGGATGACCGAGCATCCCGCGCCAGCCGCGCAGTCAGGCCAAGCCCAGGTTGGCCAGACACAGCCTTATTAGGTAGCACTGCTCACTGGGAAGGTTACCTAACTCTTTCCATTATCGGATGCTGTTCTCAGTTGCTCACAAATACAGCTGGCTGGAAAACAGTAACTCCTTCCCATGAGGGATATCAATTGGTAGAAGAAAAAACCCAACACCCAGAAACCCTTGAAAAACAAAAACAGGAGAACCCAAACAATCCGCCCCAGCCAGCACGCCGGACGTGCGAACGTTTCCCTGGGAAGGGATCGCAGGAACAAGCCTGGACCAGGAGAACTGGATTTTCTCCACTCCCTGGCTACCCGCCTGCAGGACTTCCACCAACTGGCCCAGAGCATTCCTGAGAAAAGCCAGACCCTGGCTCGGCCCCCGGCGCTGCGGACGTGCTGAACGGGCCGGGAGGCTGCAAGGATGCTTGAATCGAGGAAGAGAAAGCGGCCGGTGCCCGTCCTGGCAGCAGCCCAGGAATCACTGCTGGCATCCTCCCGACACGGGCAGGGGGAGCGATGGGGGACGACACCTGCAGCAACCGCCGTGCTGACTAAGTGCAAGGAAAGGACAGAGAAGCCCTGACAATGGCAAGGAAATCCCTTTACTCTCCTGCCCAAGCTTTGGGAAGACACCTCTTCTGCACGGTCACTGAAATCTACCCACAAGACTCGTGCAAACATTGGCTTTTTCCCCCCTCTGACACGTATTCTGGTGCGGATTCCCTACCACCTCCAGCTCCATCGTCTTGCAGAGATTTAATAGTTTGGGCTTAGTGTTTTCCAAGCCAGTCAGCTACCCCAGGTACATACCATCCATATAAACAAATGGTATATAATACAGTATATATGTGTGTGTGTGTGTATATATATTCGCACACACTATATATACATATTTTTGCCCCTGGTGGGCTATTTCAGCCACAGTGGCCCTTACCCCACACATCAAGGTTGTAGTGTCTCTCCTGGTGGCCCGGCCCCTGGCACGTGTACCGGCCCGCATCCTGTGCGGCAGCTTGCCTGATCTGCCGGAGCAAGCAGAGGCACTAAGATGCTCTGCAGCAAGAGCTGGAGCCACGCAGCCCCTTCGTGGGCAGATCTTGTGCCGGCAGAAGCCATGGGGACAGGGTGAGGATGAGAGGTGGGAGCTGGGAATGGCGCTGAGCTGTGGGCAGCGGGGAGGGACACCCCTCCCTCTGCACCCACTCCCTCCCATGGGTGGGCAGGGGGAGATGAGGGTCTTCACAGCCCCGTTTCTCCTCCGATCCTCTGCAATACCCCAAAATGTCACCTGGAGCAGAGTCCCCTCCACAGACAGCTCCATGCCTGGCTTTGGTGTGAGCAAGTTCCCGTCCTTCAGCCAGCGGGACCCTCGAGCGGGGACCCCAGGGGCTGTGCACTCCAGGGTCACCGGCTGGTTGATGATGACAGAGACGTTCTCCTCCTCGCCCATGGCAGTGAGGGGCACTGGAAAACAGTTCGATAGGACACCACCTTCCCTGAGCCACTCTTTTTGGTACCCTTCCCTCCCCAGGGCTGGTCCCCCACAGCCCCGCACACTTGCGAGAGGACAGCGGAGCAGCCCCATAGTCCCGAGCATCACCTCCAACCCCACCACCACGCTGGTGGGAAGGGGCTGGGGATGTATGGGGGTACTTACACCGCACCTCGAGGGCAGCCTCACGTCTGTCCTCCCCCACGGAACTGCTGGCTACACACGTGTATGTCCCCGAGTCCTGGAGGCCAGCGGCAGGCAGGGAGAGCACGTGCCCACCCGAGAGGATCTGTGCTTCCCCAAGAAGCAGGAAGAGCCCAGATGAGCATGAAACCAGGGAAACTGGCAGGCAGCTGGGCTGTAAGCCAGCACGCAGGAACAAGGACGGGTGGGCATAAGCCTGCCTTGAGCCAGTCCTCATCACATCCCGGGAACCCTCTGCCCATCCATGCCCCTTGTGTCAGAAAAGGCCAGCACAGAGCTGAGCAGGTCCATGCTCCCACGGACCAGACATGGGGCAGGTCTGGGCAGTATTGCCCCTGCTCGGCTCCAGCAATTGTTTTTTTTTAAAAGCCAGAATAAGGAAAAGGAGCATCATCCTGGAGGGACATCCCCAGTGAGTCCCCCATCCCTCAGGAACTGTCTCACCTCTGGGCCACCCGCCACCACGCTGGGCACCGGATCGCCGTCCTTCAGCCACAGCAGCACCGGAGCTGGGGTTCCTGTGGCATCGCACTCCAGCATCACCGGCTCGTTCACCACGACTGTGAGGGGGCTGGGGCCAGCTGTGATCCGCGGGGGCACTGGGAGGGCAAAGAAACGTCACCAGGAGCAGCAGGGCGCAAAAGGGACAGGGTGGATAGGAGACACCCTGGTGTGCACCAGGCAAGACCCATCCATGGGGCCATGGTTTTCTAGGACGCTATTTGGGATGAACACAGTGGATTGCATGGCTGGAATTGCAAATGGGGCAGAGGACAGGGAGTCCGCTAAAGCCATCTTCCAGGGATGTGTCCCAAGGGCTGGGACAGCCCCATTAGTCCCGTGCACATAGGAGAGGTGCCAGGGGGAAGCACCTAGCCCTCAGGCAGCCATAGTCCTTCCCCTGCTCACTGCGGACTCACCAGTCACCTGCAGGCTGTACCAGAGCTCGGTGACACCAGCCACGTTGGAGGCCACGCAGCGGTAGCTGCCAGCGTCAGAGAGCTGGGCTCGCTGGATCTCCAGGTGCTTCCCATCCCTGGACAGGGTCCGGCCCAGTCCAGCTGAGAGCTTCTCATGCCCCTTGTACCAGGCGATGTCTGGAGGGAAGCAGGGAGCTGAGCTGTGAGGAGCGATGCTGCTGCTCCTCTCACCAAGGGGACCCGGGGAAAGCCCCAGGGACACGTGAGTGAGAGCCAAGGGAGAGGACCGGCTCACCAGGAGCGGGCAAACCCGAGGCCAGGCACTGCAGGGACGCTGTGCTGTTCTCCAGGATGGCCAGGTCCACCGTGCTGGGTTCGATGTTCGGGGGCACTGCAACCCAGTATGGACAGTCATCAGCTCTGCACAGCCCGAGCCAGCTGTGGCCACCCAGTGCGGTGTTGTGGGGCATGGCCAGGCTCACCAGGGGCTCTCGAGTCCTGGGAGAATAGCAGCTGGGCGCCAGGGCTTGCTCCCTGCTCTGGGAGGGGACCACATCACCACATGGTGCCACTGCTGCTCCCCAAGTCAGCTTAACAGATTTTTTCCCGGCCCCAATAAGATATTCATCCTTCCCGGGTAGGATCTCCGCTCTCTGCCTGGTTTCTTAGCCAGGACCTTCAGTGGCACATCCTACGATGCTGACCAAGGGGTGCTCTGGCCAGAGGGGAAACGGGGCTGGGGGTAGACCCTCCACCAGGAAGCACTCAAAAATGTATGCTATGGTTTACCACAATGTCAGTGGCAATCAGCTCTCAGCCTCATTGGCAATGGGCAAGATCCCAACGGATCAAGACAGTGACCCTTCACCTCCCAAAAAGCAGGGCCAAGAACACCCAACCCTTTGACCAGCCATGTTCTCCCTGACACTTGGGATGAACAGTGGGTCTTGTCCCAGATGTTGTGCTCACCTTGCACCAAAACCTGCACCTCTGCCTGGGCCACCCCTGCCCGGTTGCTGCCCTGGCAGATGTAGAGCCCTTCGTGACCAAGCCCCACACAGTCAACCAGAAGAGTCCCACCGTCCTCAGACACCGCCGCACCGTCCCACTCGCCCAGTGGACGCCCATCCTTCAGCCACCTGCGAGTAGGGGGACAAGCGGCAAGTCCTTGGTCTGTCCTACCACCCCCCACCCCCCATTTCTGCCCACCAAAGGAGCAAACAGTGAGGTGCTGGCAGCAAGGACTGTCCCCTTGTCACCTGGAAAGGGCCTGGCAGTGCCCAGATTGTTGGGCAGAGCAGGGTTCCAGGGGCAAGGAGCAGGAATAGATGCCTCCCATCCTACGAGACACCCCAAGCTGGAGGTCCCCATCACCCATCCAGAGCTTCCAACCTGCATCTCTGCCACAGCTCTGCACGTTGGGCTGCAGAGCACCCCCAGGGAGTCACGCAGCCTCTAAGGGAGCTCAGGGGACCATGAGGTCAGGACCCACCACTCTGCAGTACTCACTGGATCCGTGGTGTGGGGATGCCCGTGGCACGACAGTGAATCCTCAAGGAGTCATTGGCGACAGCTGTCAGGTGGCTTTCCCCATCGCCGATCAGCAGCTGGGGGGGAGCTGAGGGGAAAGGGGACCTCAGGCTGGGACCACCCTCGGACCCTGGCACAGGGATGTGGGAGCAGCCAAGGCTTGGACCCTGGTGGTACATTAAGACCCACAGCCCTCAGGAGGAACATTTTAAACCACAGATGAGAACCTTGGACGTGCAGGCTGTAGCTGATCGAGGCGTTCCCTGCGGCATTTGTGGCCGTGCAGGTGTAGAGGCCAGTATCCATCACCTGGGGCTTGGCCAGCCGGAGAGACCCCGAAGGAAGGACACTGTAGCTTGGGGAAGAGGGAACAGACCCTGGAGACATTCAAAATCCACCTGGATGCCATCCTGTGCAACCTGCTCTAGGTGTACCTGCTCTGGCAGGGTGGTTGGACTAGATGGTCTCCAGAGGTCCCTTCCAACCCTGACCATTCTGCGATTCTGTGAAAAGCCATGTCATCCCTCACCTACCCCTGGGCAGGAGCTAATGGGTGAGAGCACACCATCGTCTTGAGACAGCCAAGAGAAAGTCCCCAGGGCCACCCCACATGCAACGAGGATGGCAGAGCTGTCCATGGGTGCAAATCCCCTTTGCTCAGCTCCTGCACGAGCTCAGCATGAGGGAACATGAGCCACCCACCCGAGGAGGACGAAGGGGGACAGGGCTCCCCATGGAGAACAGCCCCTGCAGCTGGAGCTGGCCATGCTCTCGCTCCCAGCGCTGTCTGTGCTCCACAGACATAACATCATCTCAGCCCACGGCTGCAGATTTCTCCTCGGGTGCTCCCCCATAAATCACCCGGGCACGTGAGGACAAGCACGTGAGATGTGGGGAGCAGCGCAGGTCAACCAGAAGCAGCCATGGGAAACCAGACAAGAACGACAAGGCAACACGATCCCCTCAAGAAGAGCAAAACCAAAAGTCTTCCCGCTTCCCCGGGCCACAGCGATCCTCAGGTGCAGGGAAAGAAGTGATTAACCCCAAGATCGGGGTCCATGATTTTAGGGCCCACTTCCAGTGTGGTGCTGAGAAAACGTGTCCTGCTTCTAAGGGGGAAGACCGAGACACTCAAACATATATCCAACCACTCCCCAGGTTATCTTCTCCTATCAAATAGCATTAAATGACTGTCCAATGGCTGCCATCAGCCTCCACACCATCAACAAGTGAATTTGGCCTTCCAGAAGTCACCCACTGGAGGGGAAGTGGCCTTTAAACCCATGTTCCAATGCAGACAAAGCCACCAGCAGCATTTCAATGCTTAAAGCCCATGAAGTCCCCCCGACACACGGGCTGTGAGGGTCAGTGGAGGCTGCAGCACCCCCAGCCTCCCCAGCTGCCTGTCCTCCCCTCCTCCTCCAGACCTCAGAACTCCTCCTCCTCCATGCCCTGCAGCCACCTGAGTGCCGAGCAGCATCAAGCCCTGGTTCCAACACCTCCCACGGGGAGCCGCCATCCCCAGGCATGTCCTTGGCCTCTCCGGCACCATGACAGCACAAGCCAGGAATGTACATGAAGGCGGAGGGGCGAGTGGGGCCGAGGAGCTGCGCTGGAGCTGCCTTCTCTTCCCAACCCCAGCCCTGCATCCCGGGCAAGCTCACAAAGGGTCAGGAGCAGCTGCTCCATCCCAGCAGATGTTTGTGTGATGGAACAAAAGCCTGATGGTTCTTGCTATGCTCTCCCTGAGGAGCAGAGCTAATGCTGTACCACTTGGCTGCCTCAGCTCCTGCCAGAGCATTAAGCATCAGCCGCTTGGTGCCAGGGATGCCCTTCGCATCTCCCTACCGAGCAGCCAAGTCCCGTCATGGACCCAACATACCTCTGGGGAGACACACAACCTCAAGAGATCATGGCTCCAGCACCCACAACTCTTCTTACCTTGCAGTGGCGAGAGGCAGCGGCTGGGACTCCTGGGTCCACACCACCAAGGGAGGGGGATAGCCTTGAACCTCACAGGGTAGGGTGGTCTCCTGCCCGAGCACAGCCAGGATGGTTATGGGCTCCGACGTTTGCGATCCGTTCATGCTGATCCTGGGCTTTGCTGGGTGGAGAGGGAGTGTGGCTGGGGCAGGAACATCTCAGGTGCCCCACAGCACTCATTGCTGTTCTTCCCATCCCACAAACCCGTCTGGACCCTGGCTAGGTGGCCCAGGGAATCTAGGAGAGTCCCAAGGTCATACTCTCCCAGCCAGTCACCCTCTGGAGCTGCTTTACTGGGAGGTGGTGCCAGGGCCAGTCCCGGGCACTCACTGCTAACGGAAAGCTGCATCTCCCGGCTGGAGAAGCCTGCCGCGTTGGTAGCTGTGCAGAAGTAGGTTCCAGCATCCTCACGGGAGGACGAAGGGATCAGGAAGGTCCCATCGGGGTCGAGGTAGTAGCGTGGGCTCGGTGAGATGGGCTCAGTGCCCTGTAGAGGAGACAGAAGGGAGGAAGGAAGACAGCAGAGACTCTCCCACGAGCTGAGCATCCCAAGGGCGAGATGAGGGCCCTGGACCCATCACAGCAGGCTGCCTCCCAGTCCCAGCTTCCCAGGACACTCGGCGTCACCTCCCCGGACAGCCACAGCCACACTGACAAGCTTCGCCCCCCTCCAAATATTACCCCACACCTGAGGGTGACCCACAGCCTGGCTGGCAGGGGGATGGCAACCCACCCTGTCCCTGTCACCTACCTTTGCCCAGGTGACAGTAGGGGTGGGCACGCCGGTGGCATTGCACCGCAGGGTGACAGCCGCTCCCTCGGTGGTGGTGACGAGGACAGGGCCAAGCTCAATGCTGGGAGGAACTGGAAAGGAAGAGAAGCACCTCATCCCGCACGGCCAGGGCCACGTCCACCAAAGAGAGCGGTGCTTTGCTGCTTAAGAAGTGCAGAGGGCACCACCCCATGCGCTGCAGAGCGGGGACGCCCCGCACCCTGCCGCTCACCGTGGATGACCAGGGACACGTCCTGCCTGTGTGAGCCAAGGCCATTGGTCACCTCACAGGTGTACCTCCCCGCATCCTCCTGCGACGCCTGGTCCACGTGCAGGCTCCCGTCAGCCCGGATGGAGTAGCGGCTGCTTGGGGCTACCTGGGCACAGGCAGAGAGCAGAAAGCAGGACAGATGGGGGTGTCAAACATCACCGTACCACTGTACCTTTGGGGCACATGTAGAAACTGATCCTTGAGCAGTACGAATATCTTGATGTGGTGATGAACCCATGTTACGCTCCCAACCCGAATGCTCCCCGGCATCTTCCACCAGCAGCTTTGGCCCCGGGAGGTTGGGGCACCCATCCTACAGCAAAGTCTCCACCACAGGGTTTTGCTATCACCTGCCTACCCACCCACCATCCCAGCAGGTTGCGGACGCCTCACCAGCTGCCCGTCCTTCAGCCAGCGGCGTGCTGGGAACGGCCTCCCCGTCAGGATCACGCAGGGCAGCGACACGGGCTGGCCTGGGAGCGCACGGACCACAGGGGATGCAAGAGCTATTTCTGGGGCTGCTTGAGAGAGGAGGAGGGGAAACAATATTAACTGGAGATAAACTGGTGAGGAATGCTCAGGAGAACAGATCTGGGTTGCCTTTCTTGCAAGGTCTGGATATTGGCTCGGCACAAGCCAGCTCCGACATTCAGTTCACCCAAGAATTTGGGGATATTCGTCTACAGTTTGGGTCAGTGTTGGTGCATTAAGCCAAAGAGGTGGAAAGGCATTATCCAAACCCTGCGCTGGGGTGGGGTCTGCTGAGCGTTCACCGAGCCGGCTCAGGAGCCGACGTGGCCACTGCTCGCTCACTGCCGGCACAGCCGGTGCTGGCAGCCGCGGCTCGGGAGCCGACGTGGCCACTGCTCGCTCACTGCCGGCACAGCCGGTGCTGGCAGCAGCCAGGATTGATATAACAACAAAAGGATGTAAAAGCAAACCGTGTCCGGTGACCATGAGCTTGACCTCCGCTTGGATTTTCCCATACTCATTCTGGGCTTCGCAGATGTAGACAGCTTGGTCATCCAGCGAGGCGCCTGGAGCACGGCGGGGAGAAGCCTGAGCTCGGTGGGGCTGGAGAGCCCCGAGCAAGCTTCAGGATGAGGTGACACCACCCTTCCCTGCCCCAACACCGCCTCCAATGGGGGGGACATCTTGCAGCGCTGGAGACTTGCAGGCTGTTACAGCCCACCTAAGCTTGCACAAGTGAAAGGTGCAAATAAAGCCACTATGTCAATACTTTACTACGGCAAAAAGAGTGGGCACGGGGGTGAAACCGGCTGCCCGGGCACCAGCCTGCAAGCGGGCAGGGGGAGAGCACCCGAGGGTGGCACTGTAAGCATGTAGCCGGGTGGGATGCCCGTGTGCGCTCTCTGCCGTGCCAACACACGCTTGCACACTCAGCTCTCTTACTGTCGATGAGGAGCTCGGCAGCCTCCAGCTGGCTGGAAACACCGGGCGGTTCGTGCCAGCTCTTCACGGGCTTCCCGTCCCGCCGGGACCAGGCGATCCGCGGCGGGGGAGAGCCCTCAACGCGGCACAGCAGGCTCACGCTGTCCCCGACCTCGACCGCCACGTCCCCCAGGGGCTCGGGAAAGTGAGGGGCAGCTGGAGGAGAGAGCGGTGGAGAGGGGCTGGGGCAGGTCCAACACCTCAGCATCCCCATAGCAGGCTCTGTGCACAGCCAAGCCCGGGGGAGAGAAGGGGCTGCAAAACCCACAAGCCAGGCAACCCTGAAAAGTTAAGAGATTGACTTAAAGCGTATGGTGTTTTTCCATAGCTGTTATAGCTATTGCAGTTTCCATCCCTTCCAGTTACGCTCAGCGCCCCCCTGGTTCAGCAAAACCTCTTGCACTTTTCCACTTTTAACTGCTTCAAGCCTTACCGCCCCCGACTCAGAACCTCCTCTCCTCCTCCTCCCCAAGCTCTTCCATCCCTTCTGCCTCTGGTGGGAAGCCCTGAGCATCGGTTGGGGTACCTGGATTTCCGGACACACAGAAGCCAGCCCCCACCTCCACTTAATCCCATTAACTGCACTTCACACCCCCAGTCTTGCCCCAAGCCCTTGTGTCTCATGCAATAGCATCTACACCGGTCTTCTGCCACTTCTTGAGCCTCTTCCCTCCTCCCGACCCTTGGAAATCCCACCAGGCTTCAGCCTGTTTGTACTGAGCGCTGACACCCCCGTGCTGGGAAACCCGGGAGCTGGGGGCAAGGGGAGCAGTGGGGAGCAGCAATTAGGAGCTGAGCCAGGAGGGAGAGCGGTTGAGACAGGCTCAAGTGCTCGGTGGCACCCAAAAGAGAGGCAGAGACTTACACCCCACGTCCAGCACGGTGGCATCGAAGGCGACGCCGTCCTCACCGAGAGCTTCACAGACGTACCGCCCCGCATCCTCCTCCCGCACCGCCTGCAGCCGCAGGAGGGCACGCTGGGTGCCGGGTGGGAAGGTCGCCACCGCCTGCTCGCCTGCGCCCAGATCCCCCACGTCAGCACCCCAAGCGGCTCCGGGGGTCCCTCCCACCATCAGTTCCGAGGACCCCATGTGTGACGTCCCTGCAGGGCAGCGAAAGGCCCCCGGTGCACAGAGAGGGTTCGCTCCCCAGGTCCGTCCCTGTCTCACCTTTGTACCATGCGATGTGGGGTGGGGGCACCCCCGAAACCCAGCACTCCAGGGTCACGTCTTCTCCCACCAGTGCCTTCAGGCTGGGCGTCACCGCCAGGATGGCAGGAGGCTCTGCATCACGGGGAGAGAGACGGCTTCGGTGACTCCCTGCAGCGCGGGGTGCGGCGCCATCCACCCCGAGGGACACCCTGGGACTTTCCTCCCCAACACCCTCCATCGCAGACAGCCCCATCCCATAGCTCGCACGCCACAAGGTCCCAGCCAGCAGCCAAGGGACAGCAAAGAGGGGTAATAAATCCCTCCTGCAGTAGCTCTGAGCCTGGGTCCTTCCCGGGACGCTGCCGGCCAGCGGGGAGCGGGTACCGGTGAACTCCAGGGTGATGGTTCGCTCATCCCAGCCCAGCGCACTGCTGGCGTAGCAGCTGTAATTCCCCGCGTCCTCCGGGACAGCAGCCCTGATGTGCAGGGTGCCCTGAGCATCCGTGAAAACCCTGTGGCAAATAGGGAGAGAGGGGGAGAAACGAGTCCTGTAAAAACAGGCTGATGGAAAATGTGCTAAAATAAGCGAGCGGGCTTAAAGCCGTGCTGCACGCGCGGTAAGTGCTGCGCATTTGGTAGCACTTAAAGGCAGCTCCATCAGCTGCTGCAGGGAAGGACATTGCTCTGAACCAGGGAAAAAGCGTTGTGAATTGGGCTTTTTCATCTCCAAAGGAAAAAGACCTTCCCCAAAGTTCACTCCCAGCCTGACACGGGCAGGGAGGCGGAAGCCAAAAAGCAGAAGGAATTAAGGGGAAGCACAAGGAGTATCTGAGGCTTGAGCACACGCTGGGCGTACAAAGCACCTCGAGTCCTCCTCAGCGGGGCCGGTGACCTGGATAAGGCAGGATGGCTTAAAAATAAATATAAGGAATTAAAGCTAGCAGCTTCCCAACCATCCCAGGCGCACAGGTCGGGGATATTGCGATGCTTTCCTCTTTCCAGAGCTACGGGCAACCCCACGCCCCTCTCCCTCAGCCCGTGCATCCCTGCGAGGGGACCACCATCCCCAGCGGGACAGGGAGGACGAAGTCACCCCGGTCCCCAGGGGTTACCTCTCATCCTGCTCCAGCGCCCAACCCCAGCGCTTCCAGCTGGTGTGGGGCTGGGGGTGGCCCCCGGCCGTGCAGTTCAGCCGCAGCTCCTGGTCTCTGCTGAAACGCCGGGGGCTGGCGTCCACCCTCACCCACGGGGCCTCTGCACAGCGTTGGAGAAGGCGGCTCAGCCCCCCC